GCTCATCGTCTTGCGACTCCGATGACTCCGTGCTGAGCTTTCGTCCGTCCGAGAAAGGTGACCAACTGAGATCGTACATACTTCTTTTACCTCACTTTGCGATCTTAACGAGTCAATCCATGATTTGGTTGTGTGACGTATGCTTGTCCTAGATGCATGTAAGTGGATCAAAGTGATGCAGGCAGACGAGTGGATGTGGTCACAACTTTTGTCAATGTAAATAAACTAGAGTATGATCCAGTAGTCCTGTGTCTTTTTACACCTTCCTCGCATAGTTCAACCGACAAAAGTCCGAGGAAACCCTCCTGCGGTATCCGGTGAGGCCAATCTACAAATCCCTTCAACCTGCCTTCTCAAACTAAATGAAAGGTATGCCAGTATCAATCTATTAAGGGATTCTTCGAAATCCAGCTTCCCTTCATATTTCTGAGATTTGCTTACTGGTCAATTTAAAAGGAATGAAGACTAGCCTTAAGCCAAATGTTGACGATCTGATGAATAAACCTCTGGACTAACGATAGCTTTTAGTTCTGATCTCGGCAAATATTATTTACTTTTTTTTATTGTATGCCTAACAAACGAACATCCGAAACTGCGAATTGAGTATTCAATGGAGCCCCTTGATACGAAGGGTTTTTGTCATGAGTGTCACTGCTACATATCCGAAATTGGCCAATAAATAAATATTGCGAAGTGTGTACTGGCATTTGGGAAAACTTGCATAGGCAAAGGCCCAAAATGGCCGGTAAGAAGTAGGGACTGAGAAGATAAGGCTCAAAAATGTATGCCAAACGTCAAAAGGTGAAGTAAACGCGAGTCAATTGAATGTTTATTCGACGAGTCGGAATTTCCTCCAGAAAGCAAGCCTCAAGCGGACATTGTTCTTGCGTTATTAAGTGAGGAGGAATCTCGAAAGCCAACTTCTCAGAACTGCTATGCTTCCACCTTGACCTGAAATAGATTCACATACAAGCAATCAAAAGCATATATGAACAAACACAGAAAGATAGATAGATAGATATAGAGATGGAGGGTGAAAGACAGTCAAATATGGTTAGCTGTGTACACAGGCTGTCTACAGTCCTACCGAGAGTAGAGCTGCAAAACAGAGAACCAATTACCTGTGCGACGCCCAGTCAAGGCGAAGACGTAGTAAAGGTACTCGAATGACTTATGCAACACTAGGTTGCCAGGGCGACAGCGTGAGCGAGAAAGCGTCAGAACGAACATGCCTTCATGCCGCGCCGGTTATCGTTTACCCCAGCAGCATCGGGGGTGCTCGGCCTGACACAAACCAATTTCTATGGCAAGTCAGCCACTGCCATTTCATCGGTCCGTAAGTATAAAGCTTTAAGCATTCCTATGCATGCCTGTCTATGTTGGTGTGCGACTGTCTGTCCGTGAGACTTTGCGAGCATAGGCAACTATGGTTTGTATGTGTGTTTATGTCTGTTTGTGTGTGTGTGTGTGTGCGTATGTGCGTGAGAGAAATGGAGGAGAAGGAGCTCGACAAGTGACCAAATGCACTCGTAATTAAGGTACAGTTGGATATACCCGGTGTGAAGGCTGGCCAAGATTGGGCAGAAAAAGGATGTAGAAGTACGGCTAGAAGAAATAAGTGAAGTAGCAAACAAGAAAATGGCAGAGAAGATGTGAAAGAGAAAGATTTCACCGAAGAGGGGATAGGCCTCGTTAAATAGTTTGTATTCGATCCCTCCTAAGTACCCGCAAGGCAATTTATACGTACGCCTTAAGATAAATAGATTGGTAATCTATTAGCCCACTTAAGATCTTGGTCCGGAGAAGTTGGAGTGGAAATCGTCTACTTCGACACAGTCTACGTGGCAAACTTGACTAGACTTGACTATAGCGTCTTGCCGAAGACCGGCCGGCGAAAAGTCCTGTGAATGCAAGGGCCGATTTCATTGGTTAGCACAAGTTGTACACTCCCAACTGCACAAAGTGAAGATGGTAGTGAGTTGTTGTGATCTCTTTGTTTCTTGGCATGGTAACGCGATCGCGTCGTCGACAGGTGGCACCAAACCAAGCTGAAGCCGAGACAAAACAGACAATGCATGTCTGGATGAGAATGAAACAAGCTACAACTTGGCCAAATGTGGAAAAGAATATGGTCTGTTGTGGGAGATTATGACATGAGACCTTAACGTAGTCACAGAGGTGCAACGATCTTAAAAGGGAACGACGAAATCAAAAGATGCAATTATAAGACAAGTTAGAATAGAAACTTGTTCACTGAAGGTGGGTTAGGA